TAACTATGTAAAGCATGACATAAGATTTGATTTTGAAATGACCACTGTAATTTAGTTATAGTTTGGTTTGTTAATGTTGCATCATGATGATTTTTGTATGGTTTTTTTATGTGATAAAAATGTAATCCATTATTACTACTTTTGATAAATAATGCATTTTAAAATGTTGACAGATGTGAATTTTGTGCTACAAAACTGATTTATGTAGCCCACAGGTGAAAATCTAAATTTACATGTTGTTAAAATTTAAACTACAATTAATCTTTTCAGGGAAAAGGATTGCATTGCTTGTATGTTGGGAATATATTAATTCTCCTGGGTCATTTAAGTAATTATTATGGCAACAGAAGAGGTAAATTGCCAATTATTGCATATAAAATTCCAATTTTCTTTCAAAAATTGGCTTCAAGCTATGGATTCTGTTCCCTTTTGATAACTCACATGTTATTTTCCAGTATTTGAGCAAAAGGTTCAAGCTGGCTACAGTCCAGTAGAATATATGGTTTTTAAAAATACAGATATAAAATTAATTTCTGTTACTATGAAATGTATTTGAATATTCAGTAAATCTTGATGGTGGTTTTAAAATAAAAATAAAAATTTGACTTCCTTATCTTTAAATTGTTTTTATTGCCTTTAAATATATATAGGTGTAATTTTAACAGAGCATTGTTATAAATGTACCAAATATGTTTTTCAAGTAGTTTAAAAGGTATGGATATTATTGATGACACCAACTGTTTCTTATTTTGATTTTACCTTTTTCTCTATGAAAAAGCCCAGAAAATAAGTTCTGAAATAATAACAAATTTGAGGAAGTTAAAATTTCCACTGCTTCAGCCATATGGGCATAAAAGGACTGTGATTGACCAGTGTGCTTGTGGATATGTGTATACTGTTGACACTTTGGGGTATAAATTTCATTTTAATTTTGACAACATTCTTATTTGCTTCTAACTGACACCTAATTTCCATCTATCTTTCAAGAAAATACACATGGAATATTTTTATATTCTTGCTTTCTTACTACTGATTCTGTAAATTTATTATAATTTTGTTAAAACCTAATTTTTAAAAGGGGGAAAGAAATAAAGTACAATACTTAATAATAAGGCCAGTACACAATAGGCACTCAATCTATGCTGTTAGCAAACATAATACTTGTATATTTAGTCTGGTGAGAAATTAAAAGACATAAAATGTGAACATTGAAACATAAAAGGAAAGTATTTTGTTACTGTATATGAGTGAATCTCTCCCTCTCCCTCTTTCTCTCTCTTTCTATCTCTCCATGTCTATATACACATATGAAATAAGGTGTTTCTATAACTTAGGGAGTGAAGAAAAGAATGAGCCTAGTTTAAGTAGTCTCATTTCATAATGCTAGCAGTTGGAACAAGCATTTTCATATTTGTTATTCAACTTCCACTAGCATATTCTGATGCTGTAAAAACAAAAACAAACCCAAGCACTGGTCTGGAAGTACAGGAAGGGTCACCATGGTTGCTCGTCAGATGCTACTATGTTTTCAGAGCAAAAGTAGTCAATTATGAACATTATAATCTTCAAAATGAATTACTTCATATTTTATATTACAGTCTTGTTGGCTGTTAGCAAACTACAAGTTGAACAAAATAAAATAGGTATAAAAAAAGTATCTAATCATTTTTTATCATTTTGCTTTCTTTAAACAATTTGAATCAGACCATCAAATGAACAAGTACCAAATCACTCCTCTCAACCTACAGCCCATCTCTATGAGTGTATGATAAAGTTAGTTAATTAAGTGGAATACACAAAAGAGAACTTAATAAAGTTGAAATTGCAATAATCCAGGCACTACCCAAGCAACAAAAGCTATAAAAATTCAAACACAAGGCAGGAGGGTGTAAAGACAAAATAAAATTTAAAAACTGATGTCATCAATTGAGAGATTTATAGCATCATATTTCTAAATTTATGATAAACCTACTCATATCCTACTATGGCATTATTCATTGATATTCTCTTCTGGGTAAAAACAGCATGCTTTGAAAATGCAATTTAAAGTTAACCAGATTTTTTTTTTTAATGATCCTTTAAATGACTTACCCTTAGGCTGTAAATTGACATAGCCACTCTATGTACTCAGACTCCAGGTTTAGACAAATGTATTTTTTCAGGATCTTCTCAGACATTTTACCTCTTCAAGGGTCTAATCAAAGTCACGTTCATGGCATTCACAAATCAGCCATTCAGAGCATAGTTCTTAGCATCTTCCACTGTTATTGCCAGTTGTTTCTAGGTTCTACTCTTCTGCCTCCACTCACTAGTTACCAGATTTTGGTAAAGCTACCTAAGTCTCTTAAATGAGGCATACTTCTATCAGAATTAAATGGGATAATGTATGCACACTGTTCAGCATAGAGTTTTGCATGCGTTGCTACTCATGTCACCCCTGTAATCAAATTCTCTGATGGAGCCTCCATATTTTCAGGACCCATGCCATATTACCTCATTGCAACCACACCAAATTATTTGCTCTTTGAATTTTTCATGCTATCTCAGGCCTCAGTGCTTTCGCTGGTCCATGACTACTCAGAAAAGAGCTCCGATCTCTCATCCCCCAGAAGCCTCTCACGATTGATTGGCGATGAATCAGGCCTCTTCTCTATGCTGCCGCCATGCACTTTGTATATCTTTGTGATAGTACATGTCACTAATCTTGTACTTTTTACTACATTTTCATTTTCCTCCCGCAAATATAGACTGTAATTATATGAAGGCAAAGGCTATTAGCACTTATTATTTTATCCCCAGGGCCTCACACAGAGTGTGATGCATATTAGTGTCCTATACATCTTGTTTAAATGAATGAATATTATACTGAGTCATTGGTGAGTATGGGACCTTTCTGCTAAGAAAGGACATTTTCTTCTACATAACAACTGAAGGAATTCTTGTCTTGAAAGTACTATGAGTGTAAACCAAATCAATAATTTAATATTTGGATCAGAATTTATTGTTTTTATTCAACAAGATTGTCTTCTCGATAAGCCCCAAATGAACACGAATGACTTATTTTGAGTTGGCTGTATAAGTTTATCTGAGAGGGCATTTCTAACTTAACAATTCAATACTCGAAAATTTCACACTTTTAAAAGTTAGGTCAATTTCTTCATCTGTGAAATAAAGTAAGAGAATTGAGAGGCTATTATATTTTCCAGGTTGTGCAATAAACACAGCCTGAGAAAGACAGTGGCTTGTCTCTTCCTTGAAGCAAGTTTTCCTTGGGTTGTATCCTTGCCTTCATATGTGAGCAGAAAAAAAGTCAATAGGACAGAGTGGGACACGTTTCTGGATATTTGCATATTGATTTTACTGTGGAGTTATGTTTTTTGATCATTATACTCTACTCCTAATAATTTAGTCTCTAGTTTGAGAAGTCAACAGTCTTTAGCAGGATTGAAGTGACTATCATCAATGTTTACACCCAGGTTATAAGTATTCTTTTTAGTAATTAGTTTACCCACTCTCTCTGAGCTGGCCTCCTTCTTTTTTTTTTCTTAACACATGCAGTTTCTTCTAGTCTTCTTACTTGAATACATCAGTGCTTTCCCTTTTAAATTTAGATATAGTTGTAACAAGTTCTTATGGATCGATATTGTTCATCAACTTAAGAACAACAGAACATTCCTTGTGTTATAGAATTTAAACCCAAGTGACTTCACTTTGAGGGAGTGATAACCTGGAGAAATTGTGGCTTATTTCATGGTCTTATGATTAGCACTGCATATTAATCCAAATGATAGGACTTAGCAGGATGGTGGAATAATTTAGCCCAGACTTTGAAAGAAGACAACCCCCAGTTTCAAATCTTAGCTTAGTTTCTTACTAGCTGGATACATTTGCTATTTTCTTATAAATAAAATTAGAAAAATAACACTTGAATGATTAGATGTTGAAAGGTTTGAAAGAGAAAATAAATGTAAAATACTACACATCATTTCAGGCATTTATTAGGGACTCCACAAATAGAAGGTATTATTATTATTTATAAGGAATTACTACAGTCAACTTATTATTCTTGAATTATTACATTAATACAGAATTTTAGTAATGATGGGGACATATTTTTATTATAATGATATGCTTGGACATTTTTTTCATAAAGGTGCATAGCAAAAGCAACCCCTATCATCCTCACCAAGACAGTAGTAAGACACTTTTCTGAAAACCAGCAAGAATGCCATGGTAGAACAGGGTTTAGAATGAGTAAAAGATTTCAAAGCCAATGTTAATGTGACATTGAAATATCTCCCTCCCTTCTTCTCTCATTTTAGTTACTGGCATGTTGAGGCTACGGAACTAACACATATTTCTAATTGAGTCTATGCCTCCTTAGTCACACATATAGCGTGAGTTTCAGTGGGGCGTGTCTCCTGATCACTGCCTTCATTGATCTGAGATAACATGCCAATTCTCACAATTTTGAACTAACCACTAAAATCATTTGTTCATGGCTTTATTCTCTTCCAAGTTTTCTTTCTTTTTTTTTTTATTAATCAATATTTTTTATTATGGTTTTGTGGGGTACAGTTAAGGGTTAGGTGTACAATTACGTTTCATTCAGGCACCCTGTTGATAAGAGGTGTTTTCCCATCCAAGTTTTCATTCGTATCACATTTTAAAACCAGGATTGGTAAACAAACTAACCCTACCCATGGACCTCAGTGTAATAGCGTGAGTGATGAATTCTGCATAAAGGGACATTCTTGGGCCATCAGACAGGTGTGGCAGAGCAAGGTATTTCATGAAAGTATTTAAGGACAGCATAAAACATGAACTGAAATAACTATATGAAACAGCATAAAACATGAACTGAAATGACTATATTTACAGGAACAGAATCCCATTTGACAAGGATATAAACAACTGGGGACACCTGGTTTTAAAATATCAGACCAAACTGGTGTGATACTACATTGACATCTTACTTTATATCCTCGTGCAAAACTTACTTTCATCTCCTGTTTCAAATTCAAATTTCTGACTGTAGCCACTGTATCCTGTCGCCGTCCTCACTCGGATATGAAACACGTACTTGGTGGCTGGCTTGAGACCTGTGATGATGACACTGGGGGCTTTGGACCTCGTGGAAGAGTAGGTGAGCTGTTCATGCTCCTGGGGGCAGAAAAAAGGAAAAAGGAAATGCAACAGAGTTCCTCGGCCTTTTCCTAGAGTCATTCCAGAGTTAAGCTGAGAGGTTATGCTCTGAATATCAAAAGTATTGATTACAAAGAGGTGTAAGTATGGTCTTCCATAATTTAGCATTGAGTTGTTTATTATTATGATGCACATGACATGGTCCTGGTTTGGAAATTTTTTTTTAAGAAAGATGATTAATCTTATGTCGACTGCACTTGTGTTTTTGGTGATTTAGATTTCTGATCCAACGCTAAGAAATGGTGGCGGCGTGAGGACACATTTACACAGAATGGCAGCTGCATCTTGAGCAACATGGGCACATCAGATCAGACCACACCAGCAGAGCACAAGGAGAGGAGGTGGGAGAATTCAAGTACCCGCTACTCACTTCTACCCGCAGGTAGTGCCAAAATGCCGGCGCTATCCGTGGGTAGACCTGTGGGTGAAAGGAAAAATAAATTAATTGTTTTTTAAAGTTTGAAATCCTTAATCTTGAAATCAATGGCTCTGTTCTGTAACTCAGTGATTCCCCAGTAGTAAAAATTGAAGTTGAATCAACTTTAAGAAGTAAAATGATGAAATTTTTCCCCTGGAGGAGAATTGACTCCTCTCCTAGGTACTATAGTTTACATTTTCTTTTAAACTGGTACTAGTTACAAAGTGATTGTAAGGCAGATTTATTTTTAAATCTACCTCATTTATTTTTATTTAAAAACAAATCTACCTCTGCCCATGAAGGAGCACTGAAGACAGGAAAGCAGGAAAGACTTACCCTACCTGCAGAGTCAGGCAGGGCTGGAGGCTTGGTTTCAGTCTCCTGTGTCACCTGCCCAACTACCTATCTTCACTAATGGAAAATGAATTTACCTGGGCATTTGGAATGATCTAGTTAGTCAGGGTCCTTTAAATAGGTTCTCTTGACTACTGCCTCAGAAAAGGATAGTTCATTTTACCTCTCTATAGGAAGGATTTTTTACAACATGCCGATGGCGGGGAGAAATTCAACTTAAGACTGTTTTGGGATAGTGTTATTACCCAGTAAGTCTAAAATGGTATCTTAATAGGATATCTAAAAAAAAATTTATTTGTATGAACAAAATTCACTGGGCAAGCTAGGTCAACAGGTCTCCAAGTTAATTTCCACTATCCTTATCACATCTGAAGATAGAGATTCTCAGGGATGAAAGTGACTTTCAAGGTCACTAATTGAATCATTCATTCGATGCTTAAATTCTATCTATAATATTCCCATCGGAATTTCATTTGGTATTTGCCTGAAAACCATAGCGATTTAGAAGACCTTCCATACTAACAAACCAAATTATAAAAATCTACACGTATGGGAAATGTGCTAAACTTCATTTATTTGCTGCTGATGCTCTAAGATTTAGAACTATAAAAATTATTTCCCCTAAGTTACTTTTGAAAAAAAAGTTCTTAAGGATCATTTTAAAACGTTATGACCCCAGTTGCCTGAACTTTATATGCTATATAATCATTCTGTGTTTAGCTAAGGAATTGAATTTGCCATTTGTACCCCAAATAATAAAACTGTTTATTAAACATAAAGTATAAGGGAAAAAATAAGTCAACAATAGCAACATATCTAAATAAAAACAAAACACAACAAAAAATAGCAACTTATATTTAACTCTAGGTGACTTTGATATTAGAAAGTAAATAAATATTTATTCAAGTAAATAAAATCTACAAATCATTGATATCTATAATCATCTGCCAGGGGTTAAAAGCAGGAGCTTCCTAATATCAAGGCCTTTAACATTGATTGGACTTAAAACTCATATTGTGGAGAAAAACATGTTTGCGAACTATTAGAAAAGCAGATACAGCCGGGCTCGGTGCTCAGCCTGTAATCCCGTGCTTTTGGGAGGCTGAGGTAAGTGAATTGCCTGAGCCCGCGGGTTCGAGACCCGCCTGGGCAGCAAGACCTCATCTCTACAATAAATCAAAAAATCAGCTGGGTGTGGTAGCGCATGCCTGTAAT